ATGCCAGTCTAGCATTTGAAGACATAGTTTTTCATGTGTTTTAAAAAGATCATTGTGGTGAGACAAGAGTAAGACCTTACCACATTTTCCACTTAAAATGTGATGCAAAGCTTGAATTGCCTTAACCCCTGTTTTGACACAGAGGTCTTCCTGCTCCCATCAGCCCTGACAACAGATGCCATCTCCACCTGCCTGCCTCGTTAGAGGGGCCCTGGCCTCACGGCAGCAGGATCGGCAGAAGGCCGACCACCCGGCCGCAGTCGCACACATTGTAGATGTCAGGCTCCCCTTCACTCACTGGGGACCTGACTTTCCTTGATGCTGACATGCCTGTGTCCACAAGATTTCTGAATATGTTTGATTATAAAACGCTCACTGCTGTATTTAACCTGTTGGGTAAGGTGAATTAAAGATTAACTGGCAGGAGACATTTACTAGGATTTAACTCTGGCACAGAGAAGAATCTACATGGGACCATAATTAAACTAGGATGTTTGTAGTCTTCCTTTTTTGCCTCTTCTAGGGTAAAACAATGTTTTCTCTTGATAAGAAATGGCAGATTCTAAAGGCTTCTTGATATGTTTAATGTGGAAGCTAGGCCAAACATAAAAGCCGTATGAAATGGTAATGCTAAAGAACCATCTCATAGCAATAAATTGCTAATCAACTGTAGTTACAGGAAATAGGTAATGAATACATAATTAAATGGTGTCATATATCTTTTAATTATTCAGATTCATGAACAAGCAGTATTTCTCAGATTTGTTACATTTTCTATGTGATTTTAGACACTATATTTAACACAGGTGACCATTGTAAAGTAATTCCTCCACATTTCAATTACAAAAGACACTCTGGTTTTAACTGGTATGCCAAATGGGTGATTTTTATAGTGTCATATACTAGGCAAATGGTTAATTCATTCCTTCTTGCAGTTGTTCAATGATGTTTTGCTCCTTGTTAAATTCAATATTGAGAGTGTTTTTCTTTGATTGAGTTACATACACTCTATTTTATTTAATATTTTCATATATTGGATTTTCAGTTTACCTCTTTTATCAGGTCTTCACAGAAAATGTAAAACTAGAAATTATAATCAGTGCCTACTCTTTGCAAACAAAAAATTCCCAAGTCCAAGTATGAGTCTGACATACAAATCATAAACATTTGCACAGATAATCTGTAACTGTACTGACTCGCACTGGCACCTCTGCCTTCTTCCACAACATTCCACTGCAGCTTTCTCTGTCTCTTTGAAATAGGAGTCTGCCAGCTGCCAGCTGCAGTGCAAGGATTTTAACTTAGAAAAAAAGCTGCTACTTGCTCAGAAATCACTGTTTTTCAGTTTGCTTGTTTTTGTGTTTAAAAAAAAAATACCCGCAGAGGAAAAAGTTCAGACCTGATCAGGATGGCTCTTATGAAAGATTTTCCACTACTATTTGACCAAAAATTGTAAGTCTCGGATGAACTGGGAAGAGTGGGGTCCAAGGAACTTTTTTAAAAATTGAGGTATAATATACACGTAACATAAAATTTGCCATTTAAAATTTTTTAGGTATACAAGTCAGTGGCATTAAGTACCTTCACAATGTTGTACAACCATCACTAGTTATTTTTCAAAACTTACCATCCCATTGAGAGACTCTGTACCCATTAGGCAAAACCTCACACACTGCCCTCCTCCAGCCCCAAGTAGCACTAACTTACTTCCTATCCCCATGGATTTGCCTAATCTAGAGCTCTTACATAAGTGGGGTCATAGAATCCTTGTCCTTTGTGTTTGGCTTATTTCAATTTAGCATAATGTTTTCAAGGTTCATCCAAGTTGTAGCATATATCAGAACTTCATTCTTTTTTAAGGCTGAATAATACAATGTGGAACAAAAGTGGGTTTAGTTTTCCATATGGCAAATAATGCAGTAATTAATAAATAATACAAGAATAAACTGTTTCACGTACTAACAATTGTAACCTACTTTTCACCCATCCTGTATGCTGTATGTATATACCACATTTTGTTTATTCTTTCATCTATTGGTAGAGACTTGGGTTGTTTCCACCTTTTGACCATTGTAAATGATGCTGCTATGAACAATGGCGGACAAGTATCTGAGGTCTTGTTTTTAATTCTTTTGGGTATTTACCTAGGAGTGAAATTGATGGTGTATGATAATTCTATGCTTGCATTTTGAAGGAATTGCCAAACGGTTACACTATTTTCTATAACAGTTGCATTATTTTACATTCCCCTCAGCCATGCACAGGGATGGGAGGAGGTCTAATTTCTCCACACCCTTGTCAGCACTTGGGTGTGACACTGTGGTTTTGATTTGCATTTTCCTAGGGAGTAATGAAGGTATTTTTTCATGTGCTTCTTAGCCATTTGTATACCTTCAGAGAAATCTCTAAAACGTTTAAAGATTTGCCCATTTTAAAATTTGTTGTTTTTTTCTGTTGTTGAGTTGTAGGAGTTGCAAGCAAATAAATATATAACTGTTCTTTGTGTACTGATTTTGCATTCTGATATTAAATACCTATTAGATATATAATTTACAAATATTTTCTCCCACTTTGTGGCTGATAAGGATTGCTGGTCACCACCAGAAGCTGGGAAAAGCCTGGGAAAGATTCTACCCAGAGTCATGGAGGGAGCATGGCCTTGCTGACTGACACTTTGACTTACGACCCACAGCCCCCACAACTACGAGAGAATAAATTTCTGTCACACTAAGCCACTCAGTTTGGGTTACCTTTTACCACAGTCCTGGAAAATTAACATACGTTCTGATACCTTTTATTTTTTCATGCCCAATTGTTATGACTAGAATTAATATTGATCCTTTTCCAACTCTTCCAACAAACTGAAGAAAAAGGAACACTTCTTAACCCATGCTATGAGGCTAGCATTATTCTTATACCAAAGCCAGACACAGACCCAAGAAAACTATGGACAAATATTCCTGATGAATACTGATGCAAAAATCCTCAATCAAATACTAGCAGTCTAAATTTAGGAGCATATTAAAGGATTATAGACCATGACTAAGTGGAATTTACGCTAGGAATGCATGGGTAGTTAAAACATATGAAAATCAATCAAAGTAATATACCACATTCATAGAAAGAAGGGAACAAAAACTCATAACCATCTCAATTGATGCAGAAAAAAGGCATTTGACAAAATTCAACATCACTCCCTAATAAAAACATTTAATAAGCCAAGAAGATTAAAAAAATTTTACTTAACATGACAAAAGCTATAACGAAAACATCCAACTAATAATACTCAATGGAGAAAGACTGAAAGCTTTTCCCCTAAGGTCAGGAAGAAGACAAGGATGCCTGCTTTTGCAGCTTGTATTCAACACAGTTGAGTTTCTACTTGTTTTTGATGTTTCTGTAGAGGAATGGAGTATCAGAGCTGTCTACTATTATTTTGCTGAAGTTACTTCCAAACTCAAGAATTTTTATATTATTGTCATATGTAAACTAGTACTTAAAATTCACATACATGCCAATAAGAGTACTGAAAAATAAAATTTACTATTATTTAACAAATTATATCAAAATGACTTGCATACCACTGCTTTAGTTCTAAGATGTTCTTGTTTACTTAAAACTGCACATTAGTCATTAACTATACTAACTTTCTCTGAAATAAGTGTATTTAGATCATTTCCTGTCAGACACTAGAGTTACATAAAAGAGGGGTGAGAGATTTATAACTAATAGTCAATGAAACTTCATCATCAAAGATGACCTCTTAGTGTCAAAAACAAGCGCTGCCATTTGCCCTGTACTTGTGACACAAAAATGGTCTATGACCAAAAGTACTGAAGTGCTCATCTGACTACATTTCCAGTGATCACATTACTGGATTATTCTGTCTATAAAGATATAAAGGAATGTACATGTTAGAGGGGGATATTGTATATTCACTGCCAAATTCTTCCAGGAAGAAATTTTTCTAAGTATATTACCAGCCTTTCTTTTTGTCCCTCTGTTTACTCTGCTCTAGGAAGGGGAGTGATTTGATCAGTACATCTGAGCAGGCTCAGTCTTGTCCTTCTTTGTCTTGCAGAGAAGCTGCCTGCAGGGAAAAAACTACCTCTGCCCCTTTTCCAGGAGCAGCTTCTTTCTCCCTTTGGAAAAAGGGCCTGTCCCAGTTCAACACTGCCTACATCTAGATATGCACTCTGATTCTGGGGACTTTGTGAGCAAGCCCTTTTGGCTCATACTAAACTATGTTCTCCAACTTGTCTTTTATAAAAAAATAAAGGTTTTTTTGATTACCACCCAAAGTCAAACCTCCTTCTGTTACCATATATTTCACCCACTTTACTCTTTACTATCACAATATAACACACAGATGATTATTATAGAATTGTACACATGAAACCCAAATAATTTTATTAACCAATGTCACCCCAATATATTTAATTAAAAAACACAGGGGATATTTTTGACCTTCACATCTTTGTTTTATTTTTCAGTTTGCTTAGAACATAGCCAGGGGACAGCAAAGTCATTTTACTGTGTCATGTACTCCTCCTATCTGAAAGTTCGATATCCTTACTGAACTCTCTGTCATCAAAAAGCTTTGAGCCCATGGTAAATAAAACCACGGAATCCAACAAATTCCACCATGAGCTTTCAGAATCTCTAATCAAACCCCTATGTTTTTCTCGAATGAAAAGAACTGAAGATATTTCTTTGCAATTTCAGAAAGTAGTGTTTTTAAGAAACACCTTAGGCTATTAGGCTATCATTTGGATCTTTCTAAGCTTACTGTTGAACCTGATGCTGCCCATGGAGGAAGAAAACTTGAATCCTTTTACTGAGAAAAAGCGGGCAAACTCTTCTACGTAAGAAAATAGTTAGATCTTGAAAGTTCATTTGATATGTGGCCAACTCCTGAAGAAATAAACTTTTAGACAATCTGTTACAGTAAGCAGGTAAATAACTCATTATGCACATATGACATTTCTGAATACACTTACCTCTGCTGTGTGCTTTGCCAAATTCCCTACAATGACAATGACCTTCCCTTTGAAGCTCTGGAGCATGGCGGTATAAGGGCCCTGGGTAAGCTCCCCTTCTGCAGTGAATGCAGCATTGAATGGAATGTTTATGCTTCCTGAAATGTGACCCCGAATAAAACTGAGAAAGAAAGTTTAAGGAAAACATTTATTTGTGTGCAGACTTGATTGTGAGAGAGAGGTAATTGATTCTCAGAAGATAATGCCGTTAAAAATCAAACATGAACAGAGACCAGCCTTGAAAATTCCCTCAGCACATAAAACTGGTTTTGTGATACAAGTAAAGGTTAATTTAGCTATTTTCCAAGACAAATGAGGCTAACTTGACGTGGGTCACTTCTTGCTTATGTCGCTGAAAAACGTAAGTGAAACTTAAATTCCCCCAAATTGATATGAGGTAATCACTAACTAATTCCCTTCCTTAAGAAAATTTTAATACTGTGACCATTAAGCAGTCACTGCCTCTACACTGGATAAGCTGCTTTATAACAATATGCCTCAGGGCCTTATTGGATGTTTGGGTTTGAGAGCTCTCGGTTTGCAAACTGTCTTTTTGGTGTGTGCACAGTAAACTTTTATTAATTATTACTTTGGTCATTCATTGGTTTTATTTCTGAACTGACAGTTCTGAACATCTTCCATGCTCACATGACTATTTTATATAAATGAAATAAGGTACCTAGAAGCAAAAAAGTAAAAAAAGTTAAATATGAAATTGTAATGGAAGACGTCTGGCAAAAGATGTAAAGCATTTCCTGATTAAGGGAAGCCCTGTGGAAGTAAGTGGTCAGGAGGCGGCAAATCAATGGCAGTTATGTGGGCTGCATAATCATCATGCCTTTAAGCTCATCACCACTATGATTACGTTAAAGCTCTGAAAGTAATATAGCCAAGCAGGTATTCTCAGCAGATACTGCAAAAGCCTATCTACTCTGGACAAGCCATTACTAAATGAGGCTCTATTTAGAATTGTTAAAAGTTGTCAGCACTGGTTGAAAACACTTCTGTTGTTGGTTTATTTCTCAAGTAAACTTACTTGACATTTCCACTCTTTTCAATGTTAGTCTCTAACGGGAGTGACACTTATTATATTTGTACTTTAGAACAGTTCTGATGGTTTCACTGACTATAACTTCTAATTTTGGAATGAAAAGCATATATTAGCTTAAAATATTTAGAAATATCTTAAGACCTTAAATATATACATACACACATATATACCATCCTGCATAATTAAAAAGTACAACTAAAAAGAGTATGGTTAAAAAGATGTTTATTTATAAGAGTCTATAGAGGAAGACATTCTTAAATTTTATTTTTCATCAAATAACTATTCAATTAAACAAAATAACACCTGTAAAAACTGTTCTAAAGGAGATATATGTGATGCTTTGATAGGATATATATACATTTGGGGAGGACAGAGAAGGTTTTCACTGAGAAAGTAAGCGATGGTTGAGTTAAAATTTGAAGAACCAATAAAAGTTAATTAGGTAAAGGGATGGAATGGAGACAGGAGAAATATGAGGCTCCTACTCTCATGAATAATGGTACAATTTGACCACATACTTTATTCCTAAAATTTTTTAGTCAGCAGCTTCTTCCTCATTTTTTCTTTAAAGAAAAGCATTTGGTATTAATAAAAGACTATAAAAAATTCTGAAAATCAAAAGAGAGAGAATGAGCATTAGCATTTCAGTGTATACTGTTGAGTTAGAGTCTTCTGGAATGGACACAACTTATGATCATGGGCAGAGTATCCGTGGACTTCATCAGCACTAGTTTCTTAATATTTACAATTATTCATTATTCTCAACTGCAGTTCTCATGACCAGTAATGACTTTGTTCTCAGCATATAATTACTCTGGCAGTACTTTTATTTCAGTAAGAACACACCTCACAATGAAAATTTTTGATACCACAAAGAACCTAACAACTCAAATATTTTCAGCAAATGTATATACATCTGCCCATCTGACTCTGGTGCCAGAGGATTTCTGTTTATCAAACAGCCCGGATCAACTGTGAACATTCTTTTTTAGTGTTTTTACAATAGCAATAGAAATACAAACCGATCTTGGTCAAATACTATAGCAGACATGTTTGGTCTCCAGTGTCCTGCTTTCTTGTTGAAGGGGGCTCAACTACTGACCTGATGAAAGGGTGAGTCTTGGCTGTCATGTTCATATCAGATGATCCTGCCACAATCATGAGTGACAGCATAGTAGGGAGGGAGAGGGTGAAGGGATACCTGATGTAGGCTGAGTCAATCAGGTTCTCTCCTTAATCAGAAATGAAGATACAATACAATGCTCAGGGTATATAAGCTAAAGTGACATTTGAGTGTCTTCTATATATGATTTGTTCAGCCATATATTAGAAATTTGGTGACTATGGAATAAAAGTAGCTATAAAAACATAAAGGCATCTAGTTATTATAGCAGTTATTAAACACATCGGGCCAGGTGTTTGAACAGAGCTGTTTAGTGCCCTAAGAGCACTCTGTGATATATGTTAGTAAGCATTTTTCTCTGGTAACTGGTGACCTTACCCTGTTACAATAAGCTGTGCCCCAGCCCCCAAACATACTACTCAATTCAAAATTCCATTTGGCAGGTATTACCAAAAGCATTCAAGTATGTGCTTGTAATAAAGATACATTTTCACATTAAACAAAATCTGGTAGCCAATGTACAGATAGATCAGAAAAAGTACTTTGAAATTTTTTGTGACAAAAGTTGGATTATTAGAACAGTTAAGGATGACGTGCATTGTTTTTCTAGGTGTCTGAAATATGAAGACTTTCCTGTATTTCTAAGTCAGTCTCCATAACAGTACTGCCAGTACATGCACCACAGTTTAATCAAGCAGACAGAATAAATAGCAGTTCTAAGAATAACATAGGTATATTATATAGGTAAATTACATAGGTAAATGTTCACATTCTAGAAAGTTTCTTTACAAAAAAAATTCCCGTCCCAGCCTTGCACATGCAGAGCCCTGGTGATTCATTGCACGTGTCCTCCCCACCCTCCCCATGCACCCAGGCAGTTGGTGTTTTCAGTCTGAAAAGTCCTCTCTCTCTTCATTGCTCAGGTAGCTTCTACTTGTCCTTCAAGACCCATCTCAGGCACCACCTGGCTTAGGTGGCCATCCTTACATTCTCATGGCCTTCTGGGTATGCCTCAGATATAGACCATTTCATGCTGTATTATAATTATCTATTTAATGTGTGTCTTAGTCACAAGACTGTGAGCTCTTGTTGGGCATGGGTTCTGATTTAACTCTGTTTCTTCATTGGCAAAGCAGGTCCTCAAATAGGATTACCTGGCTGATCAAATGAGACTGTATGGCACTCAGGACCTGGGTCTCAGAGCAAATGGGAGCTCTTCAACAGTAAATCGACTGCTCACAGCTAACTATTAATCCAGACAGAGGATACATTCCTCAGCAGTGGATGCCATATATGCCCACATTATTCCAGATCCATTCAGATAAGGGAATAAATACAATGAGGTAGAAATTTTAATTGTGGTGGTTTGAACCTAGAGACAAATGGGATAAAAAAAAAACAAACTTTATAAAACCTCCTTTATTATCTATCCTGCTCTGCATACAAGTATCGCAGACATGCTGAAAAAAACTAAAAAAAAAAAATTAATTCTTCAGGATACAGACACAAGAACAATACTAGCATTCCTAAGGATAAAACACATGGTATAATAATGAAAGCAACTGAGTTTGTGTGTTTTTCATATAAAAATATTTAGGCCTGAGATGGTCTTTCCTATAACTCCCAACATAAAAAAGAAGGTAGGAGTTTTGCAAATAAAGCTGCAAAAACAGCCCCAACTTCAAACAAATGAGAGTGATGTTCCCTCAAAGTATTCGTTACAGATAAGACCGGTTAGACCGCACGTTTACATGACTAACACCGCTCTGACTATGAACTCCTAAAATTTGAAACTCAAAATATTTAGAACTATTCAAGAAAACAACAGTTTGGCTGTGTATTATCTTTGCAACTACCAACATGACTTACAGAATTTATGCCACCTCAAGGGAAATGTTTTCCATTCCTCTTTAAAACACATAATTACATATTGTTTGTACATATTGTTTGAAATCCCAGTAATATACCAATGCACAAACACAACTGACACAACAAACATAATCTAGGTGACTTAATGTTACCTAGGTTAACATTTCATATTTTTTCTTATAGAAACAAAAATATGATTTCAGCAAAAACGTTGCTGCTTTACCTCTTTGATATAAGCTGTTCAGCTGTAATATTGAGAATTAAGACTAGATTACCTCTATGGTTCATTATCCTAAATTTGGGATTATTCCCTACTGTCGGGGCTGAAGCCTGTCATGCCCTCCGGCTTTCCTTTTCTGTGCTCCCCACCCTCACTGGCGCCCACCAAGGTTAGTGGTACTTTCCTCAGATTGTTGATACGCACCTCATCACCTGCAATCACAAAAACTGACAATAGATTAAAATATTACCCCTTGCAGGGTATTTGTATTTTAATTGAGAATATGTATATTACAAGCTCAATGACTGAAACTTTGAAAGAATTTCAGGTGACAGGGCTTAGGACATGTTATCCCCAAATAGAACATCTTGGCTTACTGAATATTTTAAACCACAGGAATTTGAGAAATGACATGTGCAGAAAGGACTGTCTGATCTTCCCCTGAATCAGGTCATAAAACCTGCAACTGAGAAGTGCCCTCCCCAGACCAGAGGATAGGAACATTCTTAGCACCAAGATAGGGGGATCATGAGAGAACCTGAATGCACAGGCCTTGCAAGTTTCCCCTAGTTTAACCACATTTTTGCCCTATCACATTTTCCCAGGACCATCCACTTTTTATTAAACCTGCATAAAAATGCTCAGATTTAAGCACTTCTTCAGGTCTTCATTTATTTATAAAAGTCCCCATGTTACATAAAACTTCTATTAGATACATTCATATGCTTTGCTCTTGTTAACTTGTCTTCTGTTACAGGGGCCCCAGCCAAGAGCTTAGAAGAATACAGGAAAAAGATTTTCCTTCCCTATATACAAAGGAAGAGTCAAGGGAGTAGATAGTAACATTGTCCTTTAAGTTCATTGGTATACAGTAACTTATTTTGCTGAAGTGTAAAATTGCCTTCATTCCCTTCATAAACAATCATTTCAATTATTTTACAGAGGTAAAAAAAGATGAGATGAAACTTAATTTTAGACTTTAATCTCCTAAAAGCATAAATTAGAAAAGCAAAATTTTCACCTATATGAAAATGTAAGAATTCTGTTAGATACAGTTTTTCTGTTTAAAAATCTACAAAAGCAAAATAGACCTTTCCTTTGGTGTTACAGAGTTGCTACTTCCTGTGCCCCCCTGCCCCACGGTATAGAACTACATTTTGTTGACAAGGGAAATATAAAACTATTTTTAAAATATGTTAGTATTACATATCTATTCATTACTTAAACAGATAGGTAAAGTCACAAAAACCTCAGACTTTAATTGCAAATATTTACCTTGGTCAGAATTAAGAGATATTCTATAAAAATGATTCCTTTAAAAATATTATGAGGATTCCAATAGGTTTTAATTTGTTGTTTTAAAACACAAGCATCTAGGAGATAGTTTTGGAGAAAATTTAATAAAAAAATATCTGAATGGGTTAAATAGTATAAGTTGTCATTATAGTAGGAAAAAACATTTCTAATGCTTCGTCCCACACAGTATTCCATCTTCGCTGTCCACACTTTAAAACATTCAGTGTTCCTTGAATCCGTGACTGTGTCTGTACAACGACAACTGTTGGTGGGTTGTTCACTTGGGACTAGGTGCCCTATATATTCAGCACCGAAAGTCATAGATGTTTGCAAGATAGGAAGAAATGAGTATAGTTTTCAATCAATATATGTCTTGTTCAGTTATTAATTTATATGAATTCTTTTGTTTCAGTTGTGTTTGTGCTTAACAGCCTATGCAGGAACCAAAGAGCTGCTTGTATAAAGCTGAGGAGCATGAGCTTGGATCTACCAACCACCAATTATTTGGCCTTGGTCAAGTTGCTTAGTCTTTTTAAGCTCCAGTTTCTTTATCAGTTTAATAGAGATATTAACAGTATCTACATCTTAGGGCTAGCACCATGCTTGGCACATAGTGAGAGCTTAATGGTAGCTATTATTAGAAATCAGTTCCAGTAAGGCCTAACACTGCACCATATACATTTGCATTTTCAACAGGGTAATAAGAAGTCTTAAGTCAACAGCATAAATCCCTAATTGGGGATTTTCAGGAATTAGCAATTATAGGTATCGCAAACTTAATGGCATGTTAGTAAATCACAGTATGGAGATTTCTGACCGAACCATACCATCTCCATGACTTGAAGCCTTCGACTTCATCTATTTCTTCACTGGTCTCCTTGCTGGTCCAAAACAGCCAAGCATGTTCATACACCAGGGTCTTTGCTCTCATACTTGCTCTGCCTGAATGTTCCTCCCCGTATCATTTATAGCCTGCCTCTTTATATCATTCAGCTGTGCTAAAATATCACCTTTTCTCAGAGGCCCTCTCTGAGTACTTTATAAAACTACCTCTGTTCTTTGCCATGCTTTATTTTTATGTATAGCACTTATTGCTATTAAAGATCATATGATCAATATATTTATTTATCTTTCCAATTAAAATATAATTTCCATGACTGCAAGGAATTGGTCATTTGTTCACAACAAATCCTCAAAATCTAGTACACTAATTCCAGGCCAGCACATACTAAGACAGTCAGTCTATATGTGTTGAATGAATGAATGTTTGGTTAGATAAATGCTTCTAGCTATAAATTTTGCTTCTCCTGACTTCTTGTAAATATTGTCTTGCATCTGCGTTTAAAGGAAGAAAGGCCTCAGAAGTCAGTGGATCACTTACAGAGTGCAAAAGGGCTTACATGTTGCCAACAGTCTCTTTATGTTATAACTATGAGGGTACAGGTAAGAAAGCGTAGGGCGCTACGTTTGCCGTCCTGCCTTTTTCCTTATATCTATGTTTTCTGGGTACTCTCTAAGTGCCACTCTGATGCTGGGGCTACAAAGATTAAAATGACATGAGCACTAGCTACACCTTCCTTCTCTTAACCAGAGGTTACTTGCTTGCTGATGCATTGTTTGTACCACTCATTTGGCACTTATCTTTATTGTTCATTTATTTTCCAAATAAAATATTTTAATGTTTCATATTCTTAATACTAAAAGCAATCTAGTGAATAGAACTATATATACCTTCTCCTTAAAAATATCCATTGGACTATAGAGAGTAATATTGATTGGTTGCTATTGATGATATCTAAAAAATCAAATATCACATTCTAACCTATTAATTTGAAGTAATAAATTTATGAATCTCTTCATTGCTGTGCACAACTTTCTCCCTGCCTTTAACTCCTTGAGAACAGACTTTAAGATTAATGGAGTAAGAAAGACATGTTACTTATTTCCTCATAATATGATCAAATGCAACAAAAGAGATTATGAAATGTCTATGAGTTTTCCAGCCTTGGAAGGTCATAGGTAGGCAGTTTGGATACCTCAGTCAAAGGGGATCTTAGAACCCACAGCTCTCCATTCTTCCTGTGTTCTGGATACTAGAAGAGACTCAATGACACCTAATGACTCTTGGAAAAGAGTTCAAGCTTGTGGATTCCTTCAAAGCACCATAATTGATACACAGGTACCAACATTTGGTATTTAGAGGTGGAAAAGAAGTACTGGTAGACAAGCAGTAAAATAATAGGACACAAGGGAGAAAAAGTCAGGAATGCTGTCAGTATAAATGGCCCACCTTTAAGAATACCTTGGTTTTAAAGCAGGCTTTCAAAAGGGGATTTAAAAAATTTCCCAAGTTGGATCCTTTGGGAGGATCATGAAAGGTAAGTGACTTTATTTTCTTTTCTTCTTTCTCTTCAACCAGTCCCTACCCTCACCCCCGCCACCAAGTGGCACACAGCAATACTGATTTCTCCATTTAGCTTGCAACTGTAGACAGTAAAATGACCAACCCAGGTCTCTGCCTAGTTACAACTCTGAGTCAAGTGCTGTGGGATGACACAAAGGCACTCCTTCGTTAGGTGACTTATCCACACTCATCAGAGAACAATGTTTAGGCTAGCACAAAATAAGAAGAAAATAAGGACAGTATCAATTAAAAAAATTAGACTATGAGGTTTGGAAAACCTAGGACTAAATGTTACTTCCATATTGTGTGTATTTTTAAATTCCAAATAGGTAATTATTTGAAAGAAAATATCACAAGAATGATATATGCACAAACTATTTTAATTATTTTGTAATAGTTTCTAAAGTTAAAATAAGGTGCTACACTATAATGCTATGCTTTTTGATGGTTTTGTTAGAGACTATGACTAAAGTTCAATCAAAAGAAACGTACGTTTGAAAGTTAAAAGCTGTAAGTATTTTAAGCCCTTGAAGGTAACAGATAAGAACTTCAAGACCAGGGGTCCCTGACCAGTCCACTGGAATTCAATGCTTCTTTTGGGAGTCAGTCCACTCACCTTCTCTGCTAAGGAACTTCCAGTAACCCTGAAGCTCTAACAACCAGGGACATGAACATGGATACCCTTTCCAAACTCAGGGGTCTCACAGTTTAAGTAACTTTTCACAATAAGATGGGGATATGTCATTTGAATTAGTGGGTTCTCAAATTTATTATCAGTAATCAAAGATTCTATGAATTGCTTTAGGAATTCTGTAAATGTATGGCTTGAATTTCATTTCAAAAATTGTGATTAAAATATGCACATGAAAATTATATTCCAATTTTAGCATATAAAACCACCAACCTGCTAATCCTCATTTACATATAATTCTCATTTATAGTTAGTAAATGCTATACATGTTAACTCATGGAGAAAATTAATTATAAAACATTTTCCCTTATATTTTATAAATTGAGTTTCAAAGAAAAACTTTATTTTATTTAAAATATCTGGCTTCTCTTAGCCAGAGATTACTTAAAAAAGAGATTATTTAAAAAACTTTGAAAAATCTAACAGATGATAAAAATATAAGGAGAAAGATTGTACTGTTACCATTTTGTACTTATTTATACTTTAATGTCAAGCAAAATCACCAGAAATTATGGTACATTTAATGTTAGTGGAAAGTACTTTAACATGTTCTCCATAAGCTGCCGATATTCTGAAAATTATAAGTACAACCTTCCTGTTGAGATCTGGCAAACTCTCTAGCCTATGAGGAAGACCAGGTAAATACTCCTCATCTTTGCAAAAATTTCATCTAGAACAGGAAAGATTCAAATGCCCCAAGAACAGCAACACACACCAGAGGAATACAAAAACCAAGAAAATATCCCAACATTCTGGTTTTGTTTGGAAAAGATTTTAAGATCTCTGGTATGTAACATTATCTTATGAAACATTATGCAAGTCTATTCGGGAACCCAGTAGGAGAGTTACTTAGCTGTTTGAATTCAGAGGAATCCCAGATATGTTCATTGTTTTTAACCACATGCCCTTTAAAGAGAACAGCACCACCCACTAAACCGCATGTGCAAAGGATACTCTTCACCATTCCGGATGTCTACTACCAGGAGCTTTGGTTTACTGGACTTTGTCTTCTTGGGAGGTGTTTTGAAGTGGCCTGTCACTGTGAGCTCACACAAATCAATCAGGTCCTCTGCTGAAATCCGGGGTGAAACTTCTGACTTTAGGTCATTTAATGGAATGGCTTCTCTTGACTGAAAGAAATGCACAAATAACACAATATTGAGAATAATACAAAGAGACAAACTAAGCCAGTATAAAATATCTGAATATCAGTCACTACAGTTATGTGGAAGAACAGGAAACCATCTCATAGTCTACTGTGTGACTGTATTCCTTACTGCTGGGGTTTACTTTTTCATTAGTCACACACACAGGAAAACATTATACTTTTGTCTACCACAAGCTCGTGGTTCAAATGAGATAGAAACAGATGAGAAACATTCTTACTTATGAAAGTACTGTGTATCTTTAAAAGCTGCTCTTTTAAGCACATTCACTTTTCTTTAACTATAATTATAGTTGTTATGAATCACATTAATTACAAGCTCTGATAATATGAGAAATTGCACTGTAATGTAACTCAGTATTCATACTAATTAAAGATAGTAGTTTTAATATATGCATTCAACTTTTATAACCTAATTTATATCACATATAAATGGTTGACTGGAAATTAGATTGTCAGAGAGGAGTAAGAGCAACATAATGCTTTCTTGGATAGTAAACCAAATTGACAGTTGTGGACAAAAAAGGAGCCGCACACTAACCCTAACGAGCTCAGGGGACACTGCATGGCTGCCTCACAAGCTCAGAGACCTCAAGTAATGACACAGGACTGATTGTGTGAACACAAAAATTCCTAACTAAAAGCAAGCCATGGCAGGTAGGCATGTCCTAGGCCAGTATCTTCCTTGACAAAGGTCAATCTTTACCTTAACTGAACCTGTCTATTGTCTTTTTGCATATATGATAACACATCTTTGAAATACGTGGGTAATCCACTTTTTTCCAGATCTTTCAGAGCACAACCTCCTACCAGATCATGGAACCCCTCGTTGTTAACTTGTTCTCCAGCATACCACTTGTATGTACCCTAAATGTTGTTAACTGTCCTATACCCACCAATGTACAAGAAATATGTGTCTGTTTGTTTTTATTCTTTATCCACTCTCAGGGATTTCTCTGCTTTGCTTTCTCCTGTCTCTCTAATTGACGACCACCAATAAATTTCATGTAACCCTTCATATGCCTCCTCCTTTGATTTTAATGTATAAAATAAGGTGCAAAACTGTCATTCTCTGGAGCGTTTTCTAAATCTGTTGAGATTTTGCTTCCTGGCAACTGCTGTCAATTTGGCTCAAATAAACTTATAAAAACTCTCTAGCAGGAGTCCCAAAAAAGTTGAACCCAAGGAAGCAGACACCAAGGCAATCATAATTACACTACCAAGATTAAAGATAAGCAGAGAATCTTAAAAGCAGCAAGAGAAAAGGAGAGAGTTACCTACAAAGGAGGTCCCATAAGATATCAGCTGATTTCTCAAGAAACCTTATAGGCAAGAAGGGGCTGGAAAGAAGTATTCAAAGTCATGAAAGGCAAGGACCTACATCCAAGATTCCTCTATCTAGCAAAGCTATCATTTAGAATGAAAGGGCAGATAAAGTGCTTCCCAGATAAGGTCAAGTTAAAGGAGCTCATCATCACCAAGCCCTTATTACACAAAATGTTAAAGGGACTTAGATCTAAGAAGAAGAAGACAAAAAATATGAACGGTAAAATGACAACAAACACAACTATCAACAACTGAACCTAAAAAATAAAAACAAACTAAGTGAACACCTAGAACATGAACAGAATCACAGAAATGGAGATCACATGGAGGGTTATCAGTGGGGAAGGGGAAGGAGGAGAATGGGGGAAAAGTAACAGGAAATAAGAACCATAATTTGTAGGCACAAAATAGACAGGGGGAGGTTAAGAACAGCATGGGGAATGGAGAAGCCAAAGAACTTACATGAACAACCCATGGACATGAACTAAGCAAGGGGGTATGGGTAGGGGGGGTGCAGGGAGGTGGGGGGAAATGGGACAACTGTGATAGCATAATCAATAAAATATATTTTAAAAAAGAAAAAATAAAAATACAGAATGTAGTTTTTCTTTTATTACACAGTTTTATATACATTTTTACTACTCATTGTATAGTTTCCACATAGAGGCATAAAAATAAAACTCCCTCTGTACAACTTTTTTCTCACTTAGTATCATGGTTATTGGCATTGTCTTGTGTATGATTTCAAATATGGGACTTTGTTTATGGACAATGTAGAAGAATTTAGGATAACTATACAATGACTCTGAAAACATCTGTTAATGATCAGTTCTGTCCAAGAACCTTCATATACAAAGCATATTAAGTATAGATGTCCAAGTACTAGAAATCAGTTTGAGAACTTATTAGCAGTTTTACTGAAAAAAGCCATCTTTCAGCAGACTGCGCTCTCTGAATGAATATGTAAATGTATTAGTGATAATATTAACCAAACAAGCACATATTTGTAACAAGAAAAGCATTTTGCTGTGTTCATTAAACTATTGGGAGAATGACTCTGTCATGTCTGCTAAGAGTCTGAAATTGTAGAGTTTTAATGACAGTGTACCTGTTTACCTTTATGTTGTATATGCAACCAGCAACCTTAGGGGCATAACTGTATACACTTATGTTTCATATATAAATCTTCCTAAATAACTAAAGAGGCATTTTTAACATATGAATACAGGGTTGGCATCCAGAACATTTTTCATATTTTCTGTCATGAATCCAGGAACTAACTTCAACCTAGTTACCCAAGACAGAAATCTAGAACATCACTGACTCATTCTTCCTTATTCCTCATTCCCATCTAACATAGTCCCAGTTCCACCATAATATCTCCTGAATCTATTCCAATACATAGTCCTGTCTCACTTCATTCTCCCTTGCATGGACTATAGAAGTTGTCACCTCTCTCTCCATTCCTTTTTTCTCAGCTTCCCTCTTTACCTAAAGTCATTCCTTCTAATCCATCTTCCAAATGCCATTTGTGTCAAAAAGAAAAATCTTACCACATAACTTTTATAATTAAAAACACTGAATGGTTCCTAGACAATGAGAGAATTAAATCCAAATTCCTTAGTATAGCATATAAATCCCATCACAAAGTCATCCCTGTGTGTAGTAGGCAGGAGACCACAGGCTCTAGGCTTTGAAGTCAGATACCTGGACCCAAATTTTGGCCATCCAGTTATCAGTGTGTGACTTTGGGTATGATATTTAACCTCTCCTACAAGTTCTTCATCTCCACTAAGTATTTTAGAATGGTGTCTCACATCCTGTTTTACCTATTTTCTCACCCTTCACTACCTTGTATTTTATGCTTTGGTGTTAACATACTATTTGCTTTATCATACCACTGCACCTTTGCACATATTGTTTCCTCTGCTTAGATGCAACTTTGTCCATCTGATGAATCACTGCTTACTTTTCAGGTGTCAGCTGAAACATTACTACCTTTGTGACGAGAGCCCTTATTTTTAACACCTCACAGATTTAGTTTCTCTTTTGTGTCCCCACAGGTATGTGGTACACACAGTTATTACAACAGGATTATTCACTTCCTATTAGATTGACAGTTCCTCAAGGACAAGGAAAATGGCTTTTACACCTCTTTCCTCCCCAGGACACAGTACATTACCAGACACAAAAAGGTATTAAAATATTTGTTGACTATAAATGAATAATATTTATAAATCTTCTATTACTTTTCCTGAGTAATATTGTGCTATGTGGTGTGCAGTTTCCATGTCTTTTCATATTTTTATCTGTAAAGCTAGTATGAGGTATGGCACAAAGAAACTCAATAGCTATTTTGAATGAGTGAATAAAATAAAATCACTAAATGAGTAAATGAAATATGATTACATAATGCTACAGAGCAAAATCTATTCTTATGTCTGGATTATCAGATGAAATCCTGAGGGATGGCAAATCATCAGATGAACTCTAGTCTCTGAGCACTGTGGTGGCTAATCGAGAACATGAAAATCTGTATCTACCTCAATCATTTCTCACAGCCGTCTTCCCTTTCCTTACCTGAAAAATTGAAGATGATAGTTGCTATTATAGAAAGTTTTCAAAATATACGCTAATTAATTGTATGAAGTTAGGTGGATATTAAAGTTTTTAATTATTAGGAAAACAGGCAAAATAATTTAATGATAATAAACACATTAATAAAGAAAAAGTACTCAAACTACTAAAGTTGATTTTCCAGAAAATCAGTAAAGCTAGAAAATCTGTATATGAACTATATACATGCATGCATGATCAGAAATAAGAAAAATATAAACAATATATTTTTATATCCTTTTTGTTTTTTTGAATGTCACCACAGGTAACTATTTTTTTTATAATTAATTATTTTTAAACAAGTACAGCTGTATATTCTTTTTCTTTCTCATTTCTAATTATATATAAATGAGAAAAATATAAGCATGTAAAATGCTTGAAAAATAATACTATATACAAATCTATATTGTTCAATTACTAAAATATTGATTCTATTATTCCCAAATGAGCAAAAAATCTGCATATGGGAAATCTGCATTGGTATATGCCTGTATACCAATAGACCTACACTGAGCTGAAGAGAATATGTGTGTGTGGGGAAGTGTGTGTGTATTCAAAAGTCATAGGAAATCAGAGTAGGCAGTGAGTACAGGTAAAATTCTTCAGTTTTTAAATGATTACTTTGAAAAAAGATGCCAAATACATTCCCTGCCCCCAAACAATTTTATGCCTCTTTCAAAGACTGGGGAATCCTTATGATTTAGTCACTGTTCTAAGGCAAAGAAAACACTGAGAAGTACCCAGGCCATTTAATGAAGCTACCTTACCTGATATGTACATTTGATAAAGAGAGCACAAAATACACACACACACACACACACACACACACACACACACACACACACCTTCATCAGTATTCCATATGAGTAGAGATTTAAAAAAAAATTCTCAGAAGTAGAAAACCAAAGGCAGTAGCTATTTAAGAATAACATACAATGACAAAGTAGAGATTCCAGTAATGAAGGATGGTTTAACATTACGACAATTTAAAAAATGATTAATCACCTTTAATTAAAGGACACA